TCATCCCTATTCGGGGTCGCCGCAGCGCATCTTGAATTCGCGCATTGTTGATTTTGGCAAGAAGTTTTACGCCGGATGCCCTTCCTGTCGCAACCCCTTTTTAGTCGCCTTTTACGATCACTCAGGGGATACGGTGGGACTATATGTATATAGATGTATATATATATATATATATATATATGTATATGTGTATATATGTATGTATATATGTATATATATGTATACACACACACACACACACACACACACACACACACACACACACACACACACACACACACACACACACACACACACACACACACACACACATATATATATACACATATTTACATATATATATATACACAGATACACAAATAGATATAGATATTGATATAGGTATTTCGTGATTCTTTTTTATTATTTATATCAAACAAAAAAAGACATATGCTTCCTTTCTGGACCAGTATATTAATGAGATCTTCACCTCAACACAGATGGCGAAGTCAGCAGAGGACGGAGAGGAGGTGTTTGCTGTAGACGACTCTGAAGACACGCTGGAATTGGATGTCCTTGTGGGCCACATAGAGAACATTATTTTGAGTAAGGTTGATTGGAGTTGCTATATCATTTTCTGTTGATTGTTATTTCCTGTTTATTGTTTGGTTGCCAAGATCATTTAGTTGTATGTTTATTTTGGGGGGTATTTTAAAGTAGTGTCTTTGTGATGATGTTATTTTGTGCGCTGTGAATGTTTACGTAATCTTGGATTGTTTACAGGATTTTTTTTTTTTTTTTTTAAGAAATTTACTAAAAATACTAGGTGGAGAGATGCATTAGAAAGAAAAATAGTTTGGCAAATGTCAAGTGATATATTGCTTCAAACTGCAGGTTCTATAGTTTGCCACTTTCCCTTGCAGGCCAAGAAGAGTTAGGGACAAGGAGACAGCCTGACTGACTGACAAGCTGGCAGGTAGGCTAACTGACTGACTGACTGATTGACAGACTGATAGACTGACTGACTGACTGACTAACTAACAGACTGACTCACTGACTAACAGACTGACAGACAGACAGACACAGACAGACAGACAGACAGACAGACACACAGAATGACAGACAGACACACAGACAGACAGACACACCAGGACAACTTATGTTTCAAAAAACAAATAAAGTACACATAATTCAAGCCGTAATCCAATTTCAGGTGACGAGTTTGTAGCACTAAGGGAGAGCTTTATGCAAGAACACTGCCACAAGTTCGAGGAAGCCGAGGAGAACAAGCTGGAATACACAGACATTTTCACACAATACGTAAGCTTGCCGATTCGGTTCCTCCTAACGTTGGCATGATGTCGGAGTAGCTGTGGTCTTCCCAGTGTTGTCATTTGGGATGATGAGGATTTCGTTTGAATGCGACAGTGGAAGACAGAGAGGATATTACTTTGTTTGGGTATATGTATCCTTTTTTTTTTTTTTTCTTTTTCTTTTCTTTTTCTCCTTCTTTTTCTTTTCTTTTCTTTTCTTTTCTTTTTCTTCTTTTCATTTCTTCTGTTCTCTTCTCTTTGTGAATACTTTTTTTACATGTGTCACATTCTCAGCCTAAAGACACTGGGTCAATATATATGATGAATTCATTCGCATAGATGAATGTGATATAGGAATTTTGTATACTAATGCACAAAAGAAAAAATAACTATAATAATAAAAAAAAAAAATAAAGAAGAGGGTAAAAAGGCTATAAAAGGACATGGACTCCATGACAATCAGTTTTTATCCTTGTAATTGGGGGAATCAGTGTACAAGGAAATCCAAGCATATTATTGCAAGTGCCAACTATTTTTCCTCAGTATTTCGGGGTATTAAACTGGACATGTGCATATTTTTTCCTGTATATTTGTTACCGTTCATTGTCTTTTCGCCCCAGTACTCTCTCTCTCTCTCTCTTTCTGACAGACAAAGCTGATTGAAGGCCACATAGAGAGAGAGTTGTTGAGCAGAGAAAAGGGGTTTAACATGAATGCCTTCCAGGAATTGATAAGCAAGAGTGAAGCCATTGACGGAGAGGTTTTCGATCTACTGCTAACTTTCACAGACTTTTTGTCATTTAAGGATGCCATGTTAGAGACCAAAAAAGTAAGTTTGTGCTCTGGTTAAAGTTTTTCATGTCTCTGATAAATCCACTGTGTGTGTGTGTGTGTGTGTGTGTGTGTGTGTGTGTGTGTGTGTGTGTGTGTGTGTGTGTGTGTGTGTGTGTGTGTGTGTGTGTGTGTGTGTGTGTGTGTGTGTGTGTGTGTGTGTGTGTGTGTGTGTGTTAAATACATTTGATATACTTATTCTAATTAGCATCACAGCCTAACTAATCGTAAATATACTCATAATACCTAAAATAAGTTACAGGGCATGCAAAATCATCTAAGACAAAGCTCATTTTATAAGGAAGCATTGAATAGGGTGTGTATTTTTTTTAATACTGTACTGAGAGTGCAGAATGAAATGTTAACCCAATGACTGGAGATTTATGTACTGTCTCCTGTAGTTATTTGTGAATTTTGTTGCATACAAATGGCTCCACATGTGTTCAGCCAGAAAGAAGTCTATGAATGGGTCCTAGTGACTGCACCTGACTTCTACATACCTTGAAATTGCCAGAAAAGGTGTTTTTCTTTCCAGTATTACTGATACTGCTATTATTCTGATTGCTATTATGATTATTAAATTGAGATAGGTGAGATAGGTAGGTGTAATAACTAACTCCTTGGTGACTAAGCACTTATAGAGCCATCTGTGTGTAAATATGATAAATGAACTTATATTACAGTGGGCATGGCATGCATTCTTGCCATCTGTGCTGATTGGGTTGAGATGGTTATTCACCCTTGTAAGAATATTATGTTGCAGATTGTTAGGCGAAGAAATAGATAAAATTCAGAATTCAAAGTGTGGTTTATTCAGAAATTGTCTTGCTTTTGCAACCACTGTAAAGTAAAAAAAAAAAATGGAAGTAGGACCATGGTGACGCATGTCCATTAGTCTTATGCATTAGTGTTATGTATTGTGTATTACTAGATTTGGTAAAGATCAAAATTCAGATATGAAAGTATGGTTTCTATTGAAATTCTATTGTGTTTGCATTATCATAAAATTGGGAAATTGTGAGTTTATTGTGTTTTTTTCTTGCATAAAAATGACAACACCCATTTGTTGGAACATCTTTATAGTAATCCTGTTTTTGTGTCTCTTCAGAGTACAGAAGATGGATCTGCCAGATTACAGGACCTGCTCCAAGTAACACGATTGAGTTCTTAGAAGGATATTGATGAATGCCGGACCAACATTTTTTCAAAGTGCAATTGGTAATGTAGTTAAGAGTTTTACAGGTGGAAGGGGAGAGTGAGAAATAAAAACAAAAACCCTGAAAATGCCAAAGGTTGTAAGCTTTCCAAAAGGGATATTTATGTAAGAGAAAGTCCTCCGTACCCATTTCAATTTTAAAGTAAGTGGGAATTAAGACCTCCCCATTCCACCCAGATGCCATGTCACTGTTTGTAATGTATTGGGTTTGCTGCTGTGTGACTGTGATATGGAATCAAATAGGCATGTATTTGAAAGCTGTAGTTGAGAGTACTGTTCATTACTTATAGAAAATTACCAATGATTCTCAAACTGAATTTTTAACATGGATGTGAGATGATGTGTGAATTATTTGTTGAAATGTGATTATAGTGATGCACAGTAAAAAAAAATAATTCCTTAAATTTCTTATTTTTATTTAAGAGGGCTTTGGTGTAGGTTGGTGTACAAGCTATGTGTACTTGTAGAGCATTTATACTGAGATTTCAGAATTTCTTTCATCATTGCTTGGTAGTTTATTATGCAACTATTTTTAGAGTGAAAAAATAAATGATAGAAATTCCCTTCTGTGAAAGTTCAGAATTTTTTAAGCATTATGTTTCAAACCAACAACAACATATTCCTAGATATTTGGTTTTGATATAAATATTTTCTTGTATATCACCTATCTTTTTTTCTAAAACTCATGGCCAAAATCAAAGCTTTCTAAAAAAAAAAATGAGTAAGATAAATTGTAAGAAAGTAATTGTACAGTGAGCTAACCTCTTGTCTTTTCTTTAGTGTCTTGGAAAGCAAATTATTATCACCAATTGTGGACCACTTTCATAGAATACAGTGTTAAAAGACCTGTCAGTCACTATATGGTAAAGTAGCAATTATGATACATTTATGAAAATAGAGCTACTATATTATTAGTTCTAGACATTCTTTAATGAATTTGCAACAATATGCTCTAGATTTTATATTTTGTCACTTCATATGTGTAATTGCATGTGGCATGAAAATTCAGAGGAGATTTGATCATGCAGTAAAATTTGTAATGAAATGTATTTATTATGAATGAATACATAGTTTTTTTTTCTATATGTGTGTGATAAAAAAAAATATGCTTAATGATGACTGAGGACCATATATATATAAGTCTTGTCAAAAATATGATATCACACTGATAAATAGTATAGCAGCTGTGTTACGATGTCAAGAACCTACTTTATGGCTCTTGAACTATGCAGTAGAATAATGAGTCTTATTAACACAATGACAATGGATTAATGTACTGTCCCCTGTAGTTTTTTGTAAATTTTATTACATACAGATGGCTCCACATGTGCTCAGCCACCAAGGAGTCTATCAGTAGGCCCTTGTTACTGCACTTGATTTCTTTATTCCTTGAACTTGCAAAAAAATGTGTTTTTCTTTGATTTGATATTATGATTATTAAATTGTTATTGTAATATTTATAACATTAAAGACAGTAATATAATACAAAAGAAGCTTTCCAAAAATCAAGGAAAAGGGTAAACAAGTGAAATTAGCAAGACTAATAACTGACTTTTTGATAACTAAACACTTGTAGAGCCATCTGTTTGTAACGACAATAGTTGAACTGGTATTACAGTGGGCATGGCATGTATTCCTGCCGTCCATGCTGACTGGGTTGAATAAATGGTGTAACACATTCACCTCTGTGTAATGAGGTCTTAAGGTAACTTCATTTGCGATTGTAATAGGTCAGCAGAAGCCTTTGCTACTTATTTTCTAACACTGTGAATTCTAGTTTAGCAGCAAAAGTAGGTTTGATTTTCAATAAATTAATAAGTCAATAGATAAATGAACAAATCAATAAATAAGTGAATAAGAGAGAGAGAGAGAAAAAAAGTATATGTATGTACATGTATATTTATGTATATGTATATATATGTATATGCACATATATATATATATATATATATATATATATGTATATATATATTATATATGATATATGTGTGTATAGTGTGTAGTGATATGTGTGTGTGTGTGTGTGTGTGTGTGTGTGTGTGTGTGTGTGTGTGTGTGTGTGTGTGTGTGTGTGTGTGTGTGTGTGTGTGTGTGTGTGTGTGTGTGTGTGTGTGTGTACATATATAGTGTGTGTAGTATATATATATATATATATATATATATATATATATATATATATATATATATATATATATATAATGTTTATGCATGTATATATGTAGGTATATATATATTATTTATTTGTTTATTTATTTATTTATATATACTGAATAATCATGTAAAACTCCAGTTATGTCAGACGAACCTTACATAATACGAGCAGAATGAAATAGGTGTGATTTCACAGAATAAATGGTAAATATAAAATAGAATAGTAAAATAACTCCAGAGTGGACCCAGTGGTAGGACTTAGTATGTGATTTGCAATATCAGTTGCTTCATCAGCATGACAATCATCAGATATGTAATGAATATATAGTATTGCAAATGCAGTGAAACTTTGCAGGAAATAGGATATACTGAGTATACTGTAATGTATAGTGTGCCTTGCCTTTAGCTGTATGGAAATATTAAAATTTCACAAACCAAAAACGGCAAAGCTTACCCGTTGTATTGGCAGCCCAAACATTTATTGATTGTTCT